CAGGAACAATAGTAGGAGCCCACCGTGTTGACGCAACGACCCCCCAGGCAGGGCTCTGCCTCCTCTGCCCCGCACTCGTCGTTATCTGGGGGGGGGAGAGGGGCAGAGGGTTAGGCAGGGGGGGCAGGCAGGGGGTCAGGGTGCACGAAAGGGGTCAGGGTGCAGGCAGGGATTGGGGTGCAGGCAGGGGGTCAGGTTGCAGGCAGAGGTGAGAGTGAAGGCAGGGATTGGGGATGCAGGCAGGAATTGGGGTGCAGGCAGGGATTGGGGTGCAGGCAGGGGGTCAGGGTGCAGGGAGAGGTGAGGGTGAAGGCAGGGATTGGGGATGCAGGCAGGAACTGGGGTGCAGGCAGGTAGTCAGAGGTCAGGGTGCAGGCAGGGATTGGGGTGCAGGCAGGGGTGCAGGCAGGAGGGGGGGGGGTCTCACCCACGCACTGCAGGTGCTCCTGCTCATAGTAGTAGCCGCTGGGGCAATAGCAGCTGAAGCCGGGGGAGGCATTGAGGCAAACCCCCCCCCGGCAGAGCTGGGGCCCAAAGAGCTGGCACTCGTCCACATCTGGGGGGTACGGGCAGTGTCAGGGGGTCCCCAAAGAGAGGGGGGTAACCCAGTGGGCACCAGGCCCGGTTGGGGGGAGCACTCACCTGCCGGCGAGTCTTGGGGGCCGGTGGGGGCTCGGCCGTGCCCATGCGGGCAGATGGCAAGGTGATCGTCTTGGGGGGGGGACAGACGATGTGGTCACCAAGATGGGTCCTGCCCATACCCCCCCCCCCCTGCCTGTACACCCTCTCCTCTGCCTGTACACCCTGATCCCTGCCCGTACACCCCATCCCCTGCCCACGCACCCCAATCCCTGCCCACGCACCCCCTCCTGCCCCCGCCCCAAACCCATGACACCGCCAGCACGCCCACGCCAAGGGCTGAACACCCCAACTGAGGGGGCTGGACCCCAGGGGGGTGGCGGGGCTTTGGGGTGTTGAGGAGGGGGTCCAGGGGGGTCCTACCGGTGCCGGGGGTCGGGCAGGGCTGGGCAGGGCATTGGGTGCCCCAAGCCCAGCCCAGGCTGCAGCAGCATTGCTGCTGGGTGACGTTGGGTGCCAGCACCCCACAAGCTTTGCTGAAACAGGCGGCCATGCCGGGGGGCTGGGGAGGGGTTTGGGGGGCAGGAGGGGGGACACAACGCCCCGTCACAGGGTCAAATTCATCCCGGCTGTCGGGGCAGAGGCAGAGGAAGGAGCCTTCGACGTTCTCGCAGCGTTCAGCCCCGCAGACCCCCCGTAACGTCTCGCATTCATCCACATCTGCAGGAAACGAGATTAGATTGGGGCGGGGGAGGGGGTCCCCAGGTGTCATCGTCAACCCTGACCCAGGTCCCCCGGCCGTACCCACGCAGTGGTGGCCATGGCGGGCGGTTTCGTAGCCCGGGTCGCAGGCACACTGGAAGGAGCCGGGGAGGTTGTGGCAGGTGGCGTGGGCTCCGCACAAGGTCCCGTTGGAACATTCGTCCACATCTGAGAAAGGGGGTGGGAATGTTTTTTGGACGGATGGTCTGTGGTGGGTGACCCCACAACCCTAGCGTGGTGCTGAGCCCACCCTGGTGTTGGGCTTCTGCGTCTCTGCGCAGCGTGGGGTTGGCCCTCGGTAGCCCTGTGCCCCGCAGCATGGGGCTCGATGTGCCCCACGGCATGGACCTCCTTGTACTCTATCCCATGACATGGCATGGTCCTTGCTGTCCCCCATGGTTCTTCTGCAACCTTGCGCCCCATCGCATGGTTCCTCTGCCCCTCTGAGCCCCATGGCACGGTGTCCCCATCCCCTATGGCATGGTCCCCTAACGCCCCCAGTGCTGCCCACCCTGGCACTCACCGACGCAGTCCCCGCCATCACCAAGCCGGTAGCCAGGCTGGCAGTCGGTGACGCAGCGGTAGGAACCGGGGATGTTGTCGCAGCGTTGGGCACCGCAGAGGCTGGCACCGTACTCCTGGCACTCGTCCACGTCTGCGGGGACAGGGGGGACACCCCAGGGCCAGCCGGGGGGCACGGCAGGCTGGGGACACCGGGGATGCCCCGGCTCCAGGCCAGGAGCAGCCCCATGTCCACCTTGGTCCCCATGCCCATCCCAGTCCCAGTGCCCATCCCAGTCCCCACGTCCATCCCGGTCCCCATGCCCACCCCAGTCCCCATCCCAGTCCCCATGCCCACCCTCGTGCCCATGCCCGTCTCACTGCCCATGTCCATCCCAGTACCACCCCGGCACTCACCGACACAGTCCCCGCCGTCACCGGCGCGGTAGCCGGGCTGGCAGTCGGTGACGCAGCGGTAGGAACCGGGGATGTTGTCGCAGCGCTGGGCACCACAGAGGCTGGCACCATACTCCTGGCACTCGTCCACGTCTGCGGGGACAAGCCACCCTCGATGCCAGCCCCTTGGGGGGGATACCAGTCCCTCCCTGGGGACAGCTGCAGCCCCTCACCCTGGCACAGGGCCTTGTCGGCGTCAGTGCGGAAACCCGCCGGGCAGTGACATTCGAAGGAGCCGTCGGTGTTGGCACAGCGGCCGCCCTCGCAGACACCCCCGCGCTGGCACTCATCCACGTCTGCCGGGGGGGGACATGGGGTGATGGGGGGCATGAGGAGAACCGCGGTGGGCACGGGGACTGGGATGAGCATGAGGACATGGGGACTGGGATGGGGACCAGGATGGGTATGGGGACATGGGGACCAGGAGGGGCGTGGGGACTGGGATGGGCACAGGGACTGGGATGGGCATGGGGACATGGGGACTGGGACAGGTATGCAGACCTGGATGGGTATGGAGACATGGGGACTGGGATGGGGACCAGGATGGGTATGGAGACATGGGCACTGGGATGGGCACAGGGACTAGGATGGGCATGGGAAGATGGGGACTGGGACAGGTGTGGGGACCAGTATGGGTATAGGGACATGAGGACTGGGATTTGGCATGGGGACAGGTATGGGGACCAGGATGGGTATAGGGACACGGGGACCGGTAAGGGTGTGGGGACATGGGGACTGGGATGGGCACAGGGACTGGGATAGGTATGGGGACATGGGGACTGGGATGCATACAAGAGACCAGGATGGGCATGGGGACTGGGGTGGGCATGGGGAGCGGAATGGGCATTGGACATGGGGACCGGGATGGCCATAGGTACCTCACGGTGGGCACAGGGACTACGAGGGGCACAGGGGACCAGGATGGGCATGGGGACTATGACTGGCACAGGGACTGGGATGGGCAGAGGGACTGGGATGGGTATGGGGACCATGACGGGCACGGTAAGCATGTTGGGCAGAGGCGGGGGGGGGTGCGGGTGTCACCCACCAGCACAGGCGGTGCCCTGGGGGGTGCTGGTGTAGCCCTGGGCACAGAGGCAGGTGTAGGAGCCCTCGGTGTTGAGGCACTCGCCGTGGGGGAAGCAGAAGTCGCCCTCCAGGCACTCATTGACGTCTGTGGGCATGCCACGCTGTCAGGGCAGGCGACAGTGGTGGGGGGAGACATGTGGTGATGCTGCGAGGGTCCCCACTCACCTGCGCATGGACCACCGCCGGCGCCCACCCGGTAACCGCGCTGGCACTCGCAGAGGAAGGAGCCCTCCGTGTTGGTGCAGCGGCCGTGGGGACCACAGGGGGAACCCACTGTGCACTCATCCACATCTGGGGGGGCAAAAGGGTTACGGAGGGGTCTCGGGTAGGATTTTGGGGTGCTCCTTGCAGGGGGGACGGGGTGAGGGTACCTGCACAGCGGCTGCGGTGGAGCTGGAAGCCCTCACGGCAGGGCTGGCACTGGAAGGAGCCCGGGGTGTTGATGCACTCTTGGCCAGGGCAAGCAAGGTGGTTCTCGCACTCATCGATATCTGTGTGGGATGGAGAGGTTGGGGTACTGGCACGGTGAGCCTGTGGTGTGGTGACCCCATGGCACGTTGATCTCATGGCATAGGGAGACCGTGGCATAGGGAGACCACGGGAAGGTGAGCCCATGGCACAGGGAGACCTTGGTATGGTGAGCCCATGGCATAGTGAGTTCATGGCACGGTGATCCTATGACATGATGACCCCCAAGACATGGTGACCTCATTGCACAGGGAGACCATGGCATGATGACCCTGAGACATGGTAACCCCATGGCATGGTGACCTCATTGCATGCGGAGATCATGGCAAGGTGACCCCATGGCATGGTGACTCCATTGCACCTGGACACCACGGCATGGTGACCCTGTGGCATGGTGTCCCCTTGGCATGGTGAGCCCATGGGCCAGTGTCCCCAAAGACTGCTGACCCCCATGGGATGGTGACCCTATGACATATCGAACCTATGGCATGGTGAACTCATTGCACCGGGAGAACATGGCATGGTGACCCCATGGCACGGTGATCCCATAGCATGGTAACCCTACGGCACAGTCACCCTATGGCTTGATGACCCCAGGGCACGGAGACCCCATGGAATGATGACCTCATGGCACAGTGACCTCATCTCATGGTGAGCCCATGGCACCATGATCCTATGGTAGGGCGATCCCAAGGAACGTTGACCCCATGGCACCATGACCCTATGGTAGGGCAATCCCAAGGAACGTTGACACCATGGCATGGTGACCCCACACCACGGCGACCCCCCATCATGGCACAGACCTGTCCCCCCCCGTCCCCCCACTCACCCTGGCAGGGCTCATCCGGCGCCGTCCCCCGGTAGCCAGCGGGGCAGGTGCAACGGTAACCACCGGGCAGGTTCTCGCAACGCCCATGGGTGCAGGGTGGGGGGCTTTGGGCACACTCATCCACATCTGCAGGGACACGGGCCAGGTTCAGGCCACCCAAGGACCCTGGCGTCCAGGTGGGTGGCACCCAGGGTCCCCACTGACCTTGGCAGTCAGTGCCAGCGGCACTGGGGCGGTAGCCGGGGGAGCAGAGGCAACGGTAACTCCCCACCGAATTCTCACAGCGACCATTGGGGCAGGGCCGGGGGCTGCGCCGACACTCGTCCACGTCTGGGGAGAGCACAGGGTGGGTGGGTGGGTGCAAGGAGGGGTGGGTGCACGGAGAGGTGGATAGGAGAGATGGGTGCATGGAGAGGTGGGTGCATGCATGGAGAGATGGGTGCTCAGAGGGATGGGGGGGTTCACGGAGCAATGGGTGCATGGAGAGATGGGTGGGTGCGTGGAGAGATGGAAAGGTGGGTGCGTGGAGAGGTGGGAGTTTGGAAAGGTGGGTGCTCAGAGGGATGGGTGGTGCATGGAAAGGTGGGTGCACTGAGAAATAGATGGGTGCATGGAGAGGTGGGTGCATGGCGAGATGGGTGCTCCGAAGGATGGGTGGGTGCATGGAGCAATGGGTGCATGGAGAGATGGGTGGGTGCCTGGGGAGATGGGTGGGTGTATGGGGAGATAGACGGGAGAAGTGAGTGCGTTGAGAAACAGATGGGTGCATGGAGAGGTTGGTGCCCAGAGGGATGGGGGGGGGCAGTGAGTGGGTGCCCAGGGGGATGGGTGGGCGCATGGAGCGATGGATGGGTGCCCAGAGAGCTAGACAGGAGAGGTGGGTGCACGTAGAGGTGGGTGGCTGCACGGACAGACGGATGGACAGGGCCCATCGTGTCCCCATCAGCCTGGAGCTCCCCCCACACACACTCCCCCCCCCACTGCCCTCACCGATGCAGTGGGTGCCCTGGGTGCTGAGCCAGAAGCCGGGGTGGCAGAGGCAGGTGTAGCCGCCCTGACGGGGGACGCAGCGCCCGGGGCCGCAGATCTGGGGGTTCCTCTCGCAGACGCTGCCGACGGCTGCTGCAAAAGGCGGGGGGTAACGGCGACGGGGGGTGGGGGGGCCTAGGCACTTGCGCGTGCAACCGCGCACGCTCGTGCAAGCACCATGGAGTGCATATGTGCAACGGTGCATGCTTGCAACTGCGCACACGTGCAAGGCCGCGTGCATGCACGCACGTGGGTGCAACCCCACACGCCTGCAGCCCTGTGTGCAACTGTGCATGTGTGCAGCTCGGCGTGCACACAACCGTGCGTGTTTGCATGCGCAACTGTGCATTTGTGCAGCTGTGCAAGAGTGAAACCACACAGGCACGTGCAACAGTGCACGTGTGCAACCATGTAGTCTCTCCTTGTATGCAATGGTGTGTGTGTGCAAGCACGCACGCATGTGCAACTGTATGGGGGTGCACCCACGCATGCACCTGCTTGTGCATGCATGCAACTCTGCACGTGTGAGACCACGCACGTAGGTGCAACGGAGCATGTGTGGAACCCTGC